TGAATCTGTGCTGTATTGCTGTTGACAGATATTATGCAGTATGTCAGCCTCTCATCTACACAACCAAAATAACTAATAGAGTCGTTTTGGTGATGATTCTGGTAAGTTGGGGTATCTCTGGATTAATTGGAGTTGGTATAACAATTGCAGGCTTAAATCATAATCCTTGTAAGGAAAACTGCTCTTTGCAGGATCAACTGTCCAGTACTGTGGGTCCCGTATTTTCTTTTTATCTTCCAGCACTTATTATGTTGTGCATATACTTTAAAATTTTCCTAGTTGCTCAGAGACAGGCACGCATCATTAAAAGCAATAAAACCTCTGGAGTAACAGCAAGTCGGGGGGAGAGAAAGGCCACAAGAACTCTTGCTATTGTTATGGGTGTTTTTCTCATCTGCTGGGCTCCTCTGTTTGTTTGCATTACCGTTGCTCCTTTCAGCACTGATGCAGTGCCATTTGTTGTGATTGAGGCCCTTAACTGGGTAACACTGACTAACTCAATGCTTAATCCATTTATTTATGCTTTTTTTTACAGCTGGTACCGGACAGCTTTCAGAATGATCATTTCTGGAAAGATATTTCAAGGGGATTTTAGTAATTCAAAGCTGTCTTGATTTATTTGATGAAAAATAATTTGAATCAGTTACTGTGAAAACAATTGAAATTTGCCAGTTTTAAAATGATACAATACACAAATTTGTCTTAAAAAATCTGCTGGTCTCTGAATCCACAAACGATTTATTATTTTAAGCCATTTTTGGTTCCAGTGAAATCTTTGTATGGGTTGATCTAGTCATTATTTACTGGCATAGCAAATTGTCTGTGGTGTTATAACTGTCTTCTTGCATTATAAAGGTATAAAAAACACTTGAAAATTGAAATGTGATTTGAAAATTATTAAACACTGCAGAGTTGTGAGGACTGAATTGAGGACATTAAGGAGGATATGCAGAACTATTTGCACAATTGGTCTGAGTGAAGTTAATTTCTAGGTGTCAGGTCAGTGTCCTTTCAACCTAAACCTTCACCATTTAACAATTGTTCTCCAGGTTCATTTCTAAGGTATCGGCCTATCCAATTAGATTTCACCTGTGCAAAGTCTACTCTGTTCAGAAACAATTGTAAAAACCTGAGATTTAAGTTTCATGGAATCTGTTGTGTTTTGCATCATTACTTGGTATGGTTATCATTCATTGATCAATAAAGCCATAAATGGTCCCCAATTGAAGTAGTCAGCAGGATTTCTAGGTGACATCAGGTCAATAGGCAACTTTAATAAACTGCTGGTTTACCTCCAGAATATGTGGATAGCTTTTTTCCGATTCATTTCTCCTTCAAAACTAGTAAAGTCTGCTTGTACCATATGCAGAAATCATTCCTGCACCATGATGTTCTTACCTCCAAACCTCACTGTCAGGCTGGTGAAGTGATGTCTAGTGCACCTTAAATATCTATAGTTTTCTGCCATAACAAAAATTAAGGAGCGTTATATATCTTAACATACTTTTTTGGCTTGATAAGTAGTTAGAAATTAATAATTTGAAAATGTATCAATTTATCAGTGATCGGATTCGATTTTTTTTTGTTTTTTGTATTATTTGTTTGATACAGGAAAAAAAGCTGTCTTCTTAAATTGTAATGTTACTTGATTTTATAGACTTTTGAATGGTCTCATAAAATTACTTAAAGACTGATTACATTATTTTATTACAAATCTGTCCATTATTTGTCACACTAATAAAATAATTTGATCTAATACAAATACATTTCTTTTT